TCGTCAGAGTACTACTGCCAGCCTTGTTATAGTGGCTAGTCTTCCCTGTTATCATGCTGCTTGTCGTTCTATCATGCTGTTTCTCATAAGGCTGTTTATCATTCTGTCATGATGATGATAAAGTTCGGGTCAGGCTGTCTCGAGTGTCATGCAGACGTTCCTTAGATAATACTCTCAAAGCATACTCCAAACAAATCAGATAAAGCTTAATTTTATCTTTATGAACCACGTGAACTAAAGCCAAACTCTAATTAGATTTTGATGAGCAAAGCTTGAATAATATCGTGAGCCTTATCGTGTATATTTTATACAGATCCTTATCATGTATATTATAGAGATCCGTATCATGTATATTATTGAAATCCTTATCATGTATATTACAGACACTCTTTATCTTTTGTAAGAGTCGTTTAGCTTACTTTTGTAACAACTATTTAAATTGTATATTATAGAGCAGATTAACTAGATAGTAGTTAGAGCTTTGACTTAACAATTTAGTTAATGCTTCTAGTTTTAGGAATAGTTTAGATTGTTTATTACAGAAGAGTTAGTTTACATATTACAAGATAGTTTACACTGAATATTAAACCATGAGTAAACTTGAACATTATTGAGCAGTTAAGTTTGTACTTTACTGAGTTTTATTATTGTTTCAGTAATGCATAGATTATATTAATTATTACACACCAATTAAACTTGTCAATCGCTAACTTGTTATATCTCTGTCCTAATGAATAATTTTGTGGCTTATATATCGTAGCTTAGATTGGGTAAGATATCACAATTTGACTCGTACATCATTGCATAGTAGCAGCGTGAAATTTAGCTATTGAATTGTCAAGTCCCATCAATTAATTCATAATTTATTCTAATATATAAAATTTAGTTTGAATGTTATTGAAGAATTATTGTTTCGGGCTTTTCATGCCCGTGCCATCTCTTGGATGGCTTAATCTTCATCAATCATTGATGCAATTAACTACTTGTTTTGCTTGGAACTTTGTATGAGTATTCAAAGGTTGTTTTCAATTGCTTTCAAATGTTTTGTTCATAATTGTTTGTGTGTTTATAGCTGGGTTAGTTTGCGCGAATTTCCAGTAAATTGCTTGTTAGAGTGATACGTAGGTTAAATGTTTCAGAGTAGCTAACTTGAATGTTAGAAAGATACTTTGAGTATTTCAGTGTGATGTAGATTGTATGTTACTGTGGAGTTTAGTAGCATAGTTGAATGCGTATATTTTAGCGAAATTTATCGCGTGAAATGTTCTATAATTTTGGCTGTTATAGTGTAGGTTTTATAATATGAAAGTCTGGAGAGAGTGGGCACAACTCTCTCTCTCTCTCTCTCTCTCTCTCTCTCTCTCTCTCTCTCTCTCTCTCTCTCTCTCTCTCTCTCTCTCTCTCTCTCTCTCTCTCTCTCTCTCTCTCACTCTCTCCCTCTCACCCTCCCTCCCCATAAACACAATATGTGCACTAAAGATGACATGGAGGGCCTCTGCGTCAGCAAATTCTCTAAGAATCATCTTCCTCTTCTTGATCCTTGAAGGGCTTAGTGGGCTGTTCTGTGTGTACTGGAGGATCAAGGTTGTCCTAAGTGAAGGTCTGACGTAGTGGACAGATACTGTGGCGTAGAGCTGTTGCCTGCGTTGCTTTTTTTTAAGCTGTGTTATGACGCTTTATCCTGCCTTCTGTCAAGCTCTTGAGAACTATCAAGCTTTTTCCTGTGTAGTATTAAGATCGTGAACACAACTTAAATGTCGTGGTTTGTGTCTCGGAGAGGCTGCAGGGTCCAAGTAAGTTCAGTAGAACTTCTGGTTTCAATTCTTTTGACCATCTCGTAGATTAAGGCAGCGTCTGGGATGCTCTCGGATGTAGGTTCGAATCCTCGTCACGGCCCTTGTGGATTTGTTCATTCCAGTACCCTGGTTCATTAATGTTCCACACTCGACATATTTCCTCCTCAAAAATAACAGTATCATAATATGCTCACCAGTGACTTGAAGCAGAATATACATATTTTACTGAAATTGCATTGAAGTCGAGGAATATATTTGCTTCCGAAAATTTTGCTTCGTGTGCGGAGAAAAAATACAAATAAATTTGGAAATCAATTACCACAGTTTATTTCAGGGCCCCTTGCAGGGCGAGGATTTTTTTCTGTGTGTGTGTGTACTCACCTAGTTGTACTCACCTAGTTGTGTCTGCAGGATCGAGCATTGACTCTTGGATCCCGCCTTTCGAGCATCGGTTGTTTACAGCAATGACTCCTGTCCCATTTCCCTATCATACCTGGTTTTAAAATTATGAATAGCATTTGCTTCCACAATCTGTTCCTGAAGTGCATTCCATTTTCCCACTACTCTCACGCTAAAAGAAAACTTCCTAACATCTCTGTGACTCATCTGAGTTTCAAGCTTCCATCCATGTCCCCTCGTTCTGTTACTATTCCGTGTGAACATTTCGTCTATGTCCACTCTGCCAATCCCTCTGAGTATCTTATACGTTCCTATCATGTCCCCCCTCTCCCTTCTTCTTTCTAGTGTCGCAAGGCACAGTTCCCTCAGGCGCTCCTCGTACCCCATCCCTCGTAGCTCTGGGACGAGTCTCGTTGCAAACCTATGAACCTTTTCCAGTTTCATTATATGCTTCTTCAGATGGGGACTCCATGATGAGGCGGCATACTCTAAGACTGGCCTCACGTAGGCAGTGTAAAGCGCCCTAAATGCCTCCTTACTTAGGTTTCTGAATGATGTTCTAACTTTTGCCAGTGTAGAGTACGCTGCTGTCGTTATGTGTGTATGTGTGTGTGTGTGTGTGTGTGTGTGTGTGTGTGTGTGTGTGTGTGTGTGTGTGTGTGTGTGTGTGTGTGTGTGTGTGTGTGTGTACTCACCTAGTTGTGCTTACGGAGGGTTGAGCTCTGGCTCTTTGGTCCCGCCTCTCAACCGTCAATCAACAGGTGTACAGGTTCCTGAGCCTATTGGGCTCTATCATATCTACACTTGAAACTGTGTATGGAGTCAGCCTCCACCACATTGCTTCCTAATGCATTCCATTTGTCAACCGCTCTGACACTAAAAAAGTTCTTTCTAATATCTCTGTGGCTCATTTGGGCACTCAGTTTCCACCTGTGTCCCCTAGTGCGTGTGCCTCTTGTGTTAAATAGCCTGTCTTTATCAACCCTGTCGATTCCCTTGAGAATCTTGAATGTGGTGATCATGTCCCCCCCCCCCTAACTCTTTTGTCTTCCAACGAAGTGAGGTTCAATTCCCGTAGTCTCTCCTCGTAGCTCATACCTCTCAGCTCGGGTACTAGTCTGGTGGCAAACCTTTGAACCTTTTCCAGTTTAGTCTTATGCTTGACTAGATATGGACTCCATGCTGGAGCCGCATACTCCAGGATTGGTCTGACATATGTGGTATATAATGTTCTGAAAGATTCCTTACACAAGTTTCTAAAGGCCGTTCTTATGTTAGCCAACCTGGCATATGCTGCTGCTGTTATCCTCTTGATATGTGTGTGTGTGTGTGTGTTAGAGAGAAATATATGTAGTAGATATAACAGATGAAAAATATATTGGTTAGAAAGGAGCTAAGAGCTAAATAGCTCGATTCTACAGACACAAATAGTAAATACAAATAGTAAAACACACACACACACACACACACACACACACACACACACACACACACACACACACACACCTCTACCTTTCCCATAGAGCTTCTGTGACGGGGCTACGGTCTTGAAGCCCGGCCGAGTGAGCAGGACCTCGGAGGTCTGGTGATAGATGGGAGGGATAGAGGCCGAGCAGGTAAGTCGTAGCTGACCCTCCTTGAAGTGAGTCTCCCTCAGGGGAAGACGGAGCTCCGAGGTAGGCGAGAGGAGCCCCAGGATGGTCTTCCCCTGTGTCACCACCCTGCTGTAGTGCTGGGGAACCTGGAGGGAGAGAGAGAGAGAGAGAGAGAGAGAGAGAGAGAGAGAGAGAGAGAGAGAGAGAGAGAGAGAGAGAGAGAGAGAGAGAGAGAGAAAGAGAGAGAAAATCCAGTTAACTCGATCAAATGTTGGCTTCATAGCTATAAAATCGTAATGGCTTGGTACTTTTTCCCTCATCGTTCCCTTCCCTACTAGTTGTGGTTGTTGTGGTTGTAGTTTAATACCTTAGTGGTTGTAGCTTAATACCTTAGTTCTAAATAACCTTATTCGTTATGAAAATCAATAACAAGCTCATTAAATGAGTTTCTAGGATCAAGTTTCAGATTGGCTGTTGGAGGATAAGAGACCTTCGGTGTGTCATTAGGGTCGTTAAATGACATTTCCAATGAATCGTAGTTGACAATCGAGTCAAAAAGGCGAAAACAGGCAAAGGATACAGTGTGATATTTCCTTATCTTTCGCAAGGTCCGATAAACGGGAGAAAACAAATGTATAAATTTAAAAATGTGCTGATAATTAATAGCTGATTGTAATCTAAATTGTTACCAAGTTGATTGTTGGGGTACAGGTACAGTGGAACCATTATAGTTAGAAATAATTTAATGAATGACAGTTGCTTCTAAACTGAAACTGATTTCGTACCTGTAATAGGCCTAGTCTGTGTTCGTGATGTGTTATAGACCTATTGAACAAATCCACAAGGGCCGTGACGAGGATTCGAACCTACGTCGCTCGGAGGGTTACCTAGATTATAGATCTAGTCTGTATTCGCTACCTGTATTTTTTATGCCAATATCGCATTAGCTCCAGATATTAACAAATTCCTTATTGCACATTGCTAAGCCAATATTTCATCATTATACACCATATATCATTCATTACCTGTGGTAGACACTATTTAGCATACTCAGCATACTTTAAACATGTGCAAATCTTGTATGGGAAGCATGTGTTTAACTTGTGTAATTTAGACGCAGTCATTAGTGATTCACAATGTCACATTGTGATTCACAAGACAATGTGATTCACATTGTCACATTGTCCCAATATTCTTAAAGATTTACTATTCAAGCGTCAAATAATATGAATATACTTACAAGATTCAACTGAACCACAATGATATAGAGTTATAGATAATCCCTCAAAAATAGTTTATATATATATATATATATATATATATATATATATATATATATATATATATATATATATATATATATATATATATATATAGTTCATAATACTGAGACGTTCATCAGGATCTTAACACTCTCTCCTCAGATCTCCTATCCCGTTCAACCTACCCAATTTCCCCCCTTTTTCAGCCCCCCCCCTTTCCTATCCCTCAGCTGTTCCCTGTACTGACCTCTATTCCATTGAGTAGCCACTGGAGGCGGGGCGCCGGCCGGGCCCCTGGGGATGTGCAGTTGGCCACCAGCTGCTCCCCTGGGGAGTACACCCCTCGCCAGGCCACCAACATGGGGATTCTGTCCGGTACGTCTGTAGAGGGGAGACACAACATAAGGGTCTCATCACACAAGGAAAAGTTTCAAGTTTCTGGCAAGAGAACGTTCACATAAACACTAATATCTCAAGTTTCATCCGAGGCAAAGAATTCCACCAACCTGCACTGAAAAGTACACCTTCTGTGTGTACTTTTCAGTTGCAAGTTGAATTCAGTTGCACCGTACACCTGCACTGAAAGGTAAAAGTATTCAAAATAACATTCACCATACTCTTAAAGATCAACAGCTTGTTCAGCATAATATTAACCCACCCGGAAATAGAGATGCTCTTATGAGAAAGACTGACAAATGTCAATTAAGATAACTATTAACCCCGAGGGGTCTTGGGTTATTAGAGGACGAGCTAATAACCCGAGTTCGATCCCCGGAAGGTGCAAGTGGTTCAGCACCGTTCCTTCACTTCATATCCAAGATAATTGTCCTCGTGGCCCTTATAGGTGCTATACAGTCCTCTGGCTTAACGCTTTCTCCTCATAATTACCTTGTCTTGCAATTGAACACAGGACACCTCTGTAGCATTACACAAACCTCCTTCGGTTACAGTGGACACTGTTTTGACTGTGGACAGCAGGTAGTGGTGGTGGAGGTGTCCCACATGAAGGACAGCACGTGGTGGTGGTGGTGGTGTCCCACATGGAGGACAGCACGTGGTGGTGGTGGTGGTGTCCCACATGGAGGACAGCACGTGGTGGTGGTGGTGGTGTCCCACATGGAGGACAGCACGTGGTGGTGGTGGTGGTGTCCCACATGGAGGACAGCACGTGGTGGTGGTGGTGTCCCACATGAAGGACAGCAGGTAGTGGTGGTGGAGGTGTCCCACATGAAGGACAGCACGTGGTGGTGGTGGTGGTGTCCCACATGGAGGACAGCACGTGGTGGTGGAGGTGTCCCACATGAAGGACAGCACGTGGTGGTGGTGGTGGTGTCCCACATGGAGGACAGCACGTGGTGGTGGAGGTGTCCCACATGGAGGACAGCACGTTGTGGTGGTGGTGTCCCACATGGAGGACAGCACGTGGTGGTGGTGGTGTCCCACATGGAGGACAGCACGTGGTGGTGGAGGTGTCCCACATGGAGGACAGCACGTGGTGGTGGAGGTGTCCCACATGGAGGACAGCACGTGGTGGTGGTGGTGGTGTCCCACATGAAGGACAGCACGTGGTGGTGGTGGTGGTGTCCCACATGAAGGACAGCACGTGGTGGTGGTGGTGGTGTCCCACATGGAGGACAGCACGTGGTGGTGGAGGTGTCCCACATGGAGGACAGCACGTTGTGGTGGTGGTGTCCCACATGGAGGACAGCACGTGGTGGTGGTGGTGTCCCACATGGAGGACAGCACGTGGTGGTGGAGGTGTCCCACATGGAGGACAGCACGTGGTGGTGGAGGTGTCCCACATGGAGGACAGCACGTGGTGGTGGTGGTGGTGTCCCACATGAAGGACAGCACGTGGTGGTGGTGGTGGTGTCCCACATGGAGGACAGCACGTGGTGGTGGTGGTGTCCCACATGGAGGACAGCACGTGGTGGTGGAGGTGTCCCACATGGAGGACAGCACGTGGTGGTGGAGGTGTCCCACATGGAGGACAGCACGTGGTGGTGGTGGTGGTGTCCCACATGAAGGACAGCACGTGGTGGTGGTGGTGGTGTCCCACATGGAGGACAGCACGTGGTGGTGGTGGTGGTGTCCCACATGGAGGACAGCACGTGGTGGTAGTGGTGTCCCACATGAAGGACAGCACGTGGTGGTGGTGGTGTCCCACATGAAGGACAGCACGTGGTGGTGGTGGTGGTGTCCCACATGGAGGACAGCACGTGGTGGTGGAGGTGTCCCACATGGAGGACAGCACGTGGTGGTGGTGGTGGTGTCCCACATGGAGGACAGCACGTGGTGGTGGTGGTGGTGTCCCACATGAAGGACAGCACGTGGTGGTGGTGGTGGTGTCCCACATGGAGGACAGCACGTGGTGGTGCTGGTGGTGTCCCACATGGAGGACAGCACGTGGTGGTGGAGGTGTCCCACATGGAGGACAGCACGTGGTGGTGGTGGTGGTGTCCCACATGGAGGACAGCACGTGGTGGTGGTGGTGGTGTCCCACATGGAGGACAGCACGTGGTGGTGGTGGTGGTGTCCCACATGGAGGACAGCACGAGGTGGTGGTGGTTGTGTCCCACATGGAGGACAGCACGTGGTGGTGGTGGTGGTGTCCCACATGGAGGACAGCACGTGGTGGTGGTGGTGGTGTCCCACATGGAGGACAGCACGAGGTGGTGGTGGTGTCCCACATGGAGGACAGCACGTGGTGCTGGTGGTGTCCCACATGGAGGACAGCACGTGGTGGTGGTGGTGTCCCACATGGAGGACAGCACGTGGTGCTGGTGGCTGTGTTTCCACCCTCCACCATTCGTGATAAAGTACGAGACAAACTTGTCTTCAGACAGACAGATATAAACTTCCGAGTGAAGAAAGTCGACGGAACTTCAACGCCCAGATAATGTGAGATGAATTTGGTCTTCTGCCAAAATGACGTTTAAACATATATATATTATATATATATTATATAGTAATAATAATTCCGAGTGCAAAAATTATTCACGTACACTCAAGTTCAGAATGATAACGGGGATATCTACCCCAGATCCTCCTTCAACAGCATGCCCGAGGCTCAGGACTCCTGCAGGAAACTCAGCATACAGGTAACAGACTCAGCATGGGGCCTCGGGGGGGGGGGGCATCGTAGCCTGGTGGATAGCGCGCAAGACTCGTAATTCTGTGGCGCGGGTTCGATTCCCGCACGAGGCAGAAACAAATGGGCAAAGTTTCTTTCACCCTGAATGCCCCTGTTACCTAGCAGTAAATAGGTACCTGGGAGTTAGTCAGCTGTCACGGGCTGCTTCCTGGGGGTGGAGGCCTGGTCGAGGACCGGGCCGCGGGGACACTAAAAAAAAAGCCCCGAAATCATCTCAAGATAGCATACAGACTAGGGCGCCTGACAGCTGGGTGGACAGCGCTTCGGATACATAGTCCTGAGGTTCGATCCCCGGTGGCGGCGGAGACAAATATGAAGCTGTTGCTTCCAAAATGTTGCTCCCAAAATGTTGTTCACAAAATGTTGCTTTCACCCTGATGCCCCTGTTACCTAGCAGTAAATAGGTACCTGGGAGTTAGACAGCTGCTACTGGCTGCTTCCTGGGGGTGTGTAACAAAAAGAAGGCCTGGTCTAGGACCGGGCCGCGGCGACGCTAAGCCCCAAATCATCTCAAGATAACCTCAAGATACAGGGTAACGCGAGTCAATCTCGTTACCTTACGCTCCAGTAACGTTGATAACGCTAAGACTGTGAGCTACTGAATACCATACCTTACCTTGAGGTGCTTCCGGGGCTTAGTGTCCCCGCGGCCCGGTCCTTGGTAGAGAATAAAAAGTAAGAATACGGGTAGAAGGAAAGTGAAGATAAGAGAGAGAGGGAACACTAACCCGTGTTACACTTCGACCAGGCTGATCGAGGTACTGTACATACAGTACAGAGCGTGAGCTGTCTCTCTGATCATCAGCTAATTTACTAGCAAATAAGTATACTAAGCAGAATGGGTTTTAATAAGTTTTATATAAAATATATATATAATATAAATATATAATAAAAAAATATAAATATATATATATATATATATTATTTTATATAAATTTATATAATATATATATGAGTTTTATAACGCACGGGACATTGAGGTACCGTCAATCGTCAATCCGCATAGAATTGACGGTGAAGGCGACTTGGATCAACTCACACAGAGAGACAACTGTCTTCAAACGCCCGCAATTCTACCCCTTAACACTTTCGCATTCCGGCGTCTCCAAACGTCTAAGACGTTTAAGACGTCAAACGTCTGAAGGAACTAAGACTTTCCGGCGTCTCCAAACGTGCAAACATGCACGTCTAAGCTGTTGGTGGTTGGTGGAACTACATTGCTGAGCAAGCTAACAGATAAGAGAATGTATTTACCGTTTTCCACAGGAACGACGAAGCCCTCAGGGCTCCACAGAATCCAATAATCCCCCAGGCCAGGCACTTCAAACCCCAGTCCCAGTAGAGGTGCGGGAAGCTCCCAGGGGAACGCGTTCCCCTGGGTTCTGACCCCATGTACCGAGCCAAAGATGATCGTTAATTCACTATTTTTGTTGGCCATGTGGCTCCCTCGATGCGGAGGTGTTGCGACCTCTAATGGTCTTCTGAACACCTATTCTCGTACACTTTATCTCGTGTAAGTGTACGTGATACACTTACCGATAAGTGTGTGCACTTATGTGATAAGTGAGCTTGTCTGGTAAGTTAATAACTCTTGCACTCCTCTTCAGGCTATTCATCGTTTTTTTTGGTGACACTGTCCTGTGTTACTGTCCAGTGACACTGTCCTGCAACAGTCTCCTACAACAGTCTCCTACAACAGTCTCCTACAACAGTCTCCTGCAACAGTCTCCTGCAACAGTCTCCTACAACAGTCTCCTGCAACAGTCTCCTGCAACAGTCTCCTACAACAGTCTCCTGCAACAGTCTCCTACAACACTGTCCTACAACACTGTCCTACAACACTGTCCTGCAACAGTCTCCTACAACAGTCTCCTACAACAGTCTCCTACAACACTGTCCTACAACACTGTCCTGCAACAGTCTCCTACAACAGTCTCCTGCAACAGTCTCCTACAACAGTCTCCTACAACAGTCTCCTACAACAGTCTCCTACAACACTGTCCTACAACACTGTCCTACAACACTGTCCTGCAACAGTCTCCTACAACAGTCTCCTACAACAGTCTCCTACAACAGTCTCCTACAACAGTCTCCTACAACACTGTCCTACAACACTGTCCTACAACACTGTCCTGCAACACTGTCCTGCAAGACTGCCCTACAACACTGTCCTACAACACAGCGTTGCAATTACAAAACAATGGTCAATAATACAATGAAAGTAGAC